CGCTTAGCATGATTGGTTGGTTGAGCTTTCGTACATATATGTGTAAATGTTGTGAGGGCAGTTATTAACAGTCTTCTTCTTTAGTGGTTATCATAATCATTTTGTATGTTCCTGTCTATTTTAATTACTTAATCTGTATACCAACAAGGTACAAGGTAACATGTCACACTACGAAATTATTACTTTACGAAATTAATAATAATAATAATAATAATAATAATAATAATAATAATAATAATAATAACAAACACTAATAATACTTATTATAGCTACATTTTTCTAGGGCGCATTTCCCAACTCGATCAAATTGCGCCTAACAGCAAATAACTAACTAAATGAAATAGAACAAAATACCTAACTAACCAACCTTCTAACTAACTAAAATAACTGACTAATTTATCACTTAAGAAAAATAACAGACTAATTAACTAATTAATAGATGATATTTGCAGTGTTAGACCAGGGGTTTGTACACGTAAGAGGGACACCACTAGAAAATGAAATCGCATTACATGTATCTCTAACAAACGCCTCTTAACAGATGTCAGCAACTACCGGCGCCTTACAAACGACTTTTCCTCGACGGAAACGAAACCGACAAACGAACTTCTAGCAGACCGACTTAATTTAACAATAGACGGACCAAAATCCGATTAATTTAACAAACGATAGACGGATCGAAACCGACCAACGACTGATGACAAACTTTACTCGAGTTTTTTAGCCAATACCATCATGGCTAGACTGACCAATCACGTTCAACGGACTAGACTTATAACATCATCGACTGACAAACACTATTCACTTGACTCTGAAGATGACTTTCGCTCAGGTTGTAGAAACGCCAGTCACCAACAACAGTTCTTTTCAGAACTACCCTCACCCGGACGATCACACTATACGAACGTAATTAACCTTTAGTACCGTGTCACCGTCCACGGCTTGAATCCGTTAATGATGAGACCGTGAATTATGTTTGTTAACAATTGCCTCCTCTCTATCATATACGTGTTACTCTAGTACATGCTTCAGAAACGATACGCCAGTAGTGATTTTGAAACCATTGCTCTATCAAAATTCGTAATGATCTAACAAGATACAGTTGTCAGCAATCCTACAAAATCAAATCCTACCTTATTATGGAATGTTTGAGAAAAAAAGGAAAAACACTGCGCGTTCATGACTTGATTATCCGAAACAAAATTTTCCAAAGTTACGAAACATGTTGACGAAGCGGAAGAGAATTTTTTTTCCTATTTACAAGTAGCACGAAGAAGTAGCTTATTTTAACGCCAAATAAGAAATTGTAGCCGTCGCGATTGTCTCAAAGGATCTCATCCTGACAATTGAAAACCTACCAGATTTTAAAAACTTTTCGCCACATTTAAACCGCGGGCCATAGGAAAATAAAGAAGATTACGTGATAGGAATTTTGACCTTCAACAGTTCATTTTCCAAACCATATTCAGTCAGGCTTACGGGAACAAAACCACAACGATATCCCCAAACGCCTAGTACATTTTGACTCCAGGGAAGTCATGTTGACGCGTTAACACCAAATTGCATGGGTAAGAAGGATCAGTTTTTTAAGGAACATCTTCAAGCTTTATCCACTGACCTGGTTAGTAACCGAAGAGTTCCAAACTTGCACGATATCAGTATACGCTTGGGTATTGTGGCAATATTTCTCTCTCTCGCTTTCTCTCACTTGTACTTAAAAATTTAATAAACATTGCTCAGCGTTCTGAGAACCCTGAGCTAGCAAATCCGTTACCTCTTAAATCGAACAAACCTGAGAAAGATAGGAGGGTGAAGGAAAACCTACAGCAAATACTACCACAATATTAAAATTGAAATAAAACCAATAACTATGTACCAACTGAAAACAATAAATAGCGTTTTCCACGCAGTTTGATCGGCTACTACCCAAACCTCGGGTTAGTGTGTAGCAAAATGGATTGCGGGTATTTGATCCTACCAGCTTGGTATACACAAAAACAGTCGGTGTCGGTGGTTAGTGAGGGGGTTTATAACTTTCCTTCTGTTTCACGGAACATTCTCCAACCGGTTCAGCTCTTTTTTGCTTTGTTTATTTAAGACGGAAAATCCTATCAGTTTTTTTTTCTTGTAACTGTCTGTTTTGTAACTTCTGTTTATTAAGTCGACACTTTACAAAATACTCAAAACTCTGAACCAAAACCTCACCCAAACTCGAAACACCTCTAGCCTGCGTACCAAGCGTTACCGTACGAAGAGCTTTTTCCACATTCTGGCCCCGTGCAAACTGGGCTTCGTACGGGAACGCTAAAAAAAACTTCCAACTAATTCGCATGATGATCTATAATTCGATTTAAGAACAACTAACATAAAGCAACAAGTATTCCTTCAAAAATTCGACGTCAAACAGATAGTTACAGAAAAGAAACAATTCACTTTTCATGAAAACATACTTATATATAATATCGCTGTACATTTTACCATAAATTCACTGTATTCTTGAGTATTTCACTACAGTGAGGGAATCAACCATAACACCAACAGACAAAATTACTTACTATCCTGGTCTGTTCTAACAACAATAACAGGATCTCTGGCTGGTCCATCTCCTTTCACAGTAGATGCAAACACTGTGACATTGTAGTTGACGTACTCCTTTAGACCGGTCAGTTCCTTTTCACGATCATCAGCACCAGCTGGAACATTCCCATTGTCATTTTCTGTTTGTGACTGGTAAGTAATGGTGTAACCCGTGATGATACCATTCTGTTGATCAGCTGGAACTTCATCCCACAAGACTAAGATGCCGGTTGAGCTGCTCTTCTGTCCTTGTACATTTTGTGGAGCACCATCAGGTTCTGATGATAGAAAATTCCGAAACAAGACTTTTGTAAGCCAATAATGCAAGCTAACAAGAATTATGTTTTGTTTTAGTTATATATTTTCTTTTTTTTCTATCATAACATTTTTGAGGCAATTGCTTTGACGTAAATAAGACGCAATCTTGAAAAGAACGTGTTTAAAGAGACTTCTGAAGGTGTCTGGATACAGTTTTTTCTCCATACTAAGCATTTTCAATCAGCTTTTTTTCGGATTAATGTCAAAAATTCGCTAGTTATCGGAAATATGTTAAAGCTTAATACTATAAAATATATCATTTAGGATATTCAATACTTCCTTGAAAATGATAGACAAAACAATATTCATAATCAGTAACGCTTGAATATTGCGCAAGAAACACTCGCTTTAAAAAAGCTAATACCAGTATCTTAAATTCAAAAAATTCTGTATGCTCGATTTCGAATTAATCGAAACATTTCGAACTATATTGAATTTTTGGAATAACTCCTCGCATAGCTCCTGTAAGGCTTACTCCTAGACTTTCATGGTCAATTCAATTAGGTGGCCTAAAGAGTAAAGCCTAAGAAATAAACACTGCGCATGTTTGTAGATTTGCCTAAAAAGTGTCTTGGACTCTGGCTAATGTTTAGATACAGCAGGATTGTCTCTAACCTGAAAGCTTCCCACATATCTTGAGCTCATGTAAAGTGACTCACTCTCATCCAGCAACACGGAGACGTCGCAATTTGCAGGGATAGAAACTGCGTTTTTAGAGCTGCATCTTTCAACATCTTTGCTGTTGTTTGGTACAGAGCGTCATGTCACATTTCAATTTATCGATTAGAAAAGCAGTTACGCCTGCGGTTGCCACATATATATTTTTTTTGGTTTGATTGCACTGTACCTTTAGTGGAAGCCTAGAGAATGAAGCTAATTTAGAGTAAGCTTGTACTGGTTGTGACCTTCATGTGCGATTCTTTGCAAACACAGGATATGTTGCTCCTACGGGTAGCATACGGGTTAACCCGAAAACTGGGAGAAATTTTCCATCCAAACGAACTTAATAACAAAAACGCATGTGTTTTCAGATAGTTCTTCAAAGCGCTTGTAATGTTTCAGTAGTTGTATCCTTATCCTTGTTTTCTTGTGATTTACGAGTAGGATACAAGATTCGATTTAAGTGAATTTACCTAGTTGTGTAAGCAAGAATTATAGTAGTTGACGATTCGACTTTGTGTAGTAAGTAAGCCTATAGTTCAATGGTACGTAAAGAACAATTCACCTTTGTTTCGCAAGAAATTTTTTTAATTATAGTCGCCGTGAAAATTGTTGGTTACAAAACAGCGCTTAACGGTGAAACTGTCAAGTGAAATGTATTCCAAATTCCAAATTGGCCTTTCGCAAGACAAGAGCTAGAAATGGCGGATGAAGGTCAAACGTGCAGAGAAAACGATAAAATAAACGATAAAATTCGCTGTTAGAAAACCGTTCGTCGATATCTGTTATCGGTTTCATCGATCGATCTATAGGAATCAATGGTTACAGCTGATTTCGCTCGATTTTAAAGATACTTTTTGAGGGGTTCTCCATAAGTTCTGGCGACCAGTGAAAATTGCAATACATTCCGAATCACTTATTTCTATTCCGGAATAAGGTCAATCAAACGCACCATAAAACGAGCGACGACGTGAAAAATAATATTAAGACCCATTAGAAACGCTTGGTGAATATTCTACTTACTATCCTGGTCTGTTCTAACATCAATTGGATCACTGTTTGGTCCATCTCCTTTCACAGTAGATGCAAGCACTGTGATATTGTAGTTCACGCACTCCTTTAGATTTGTCAATTCCGTTTGACGAACAGAGGCATTTACTTCGACGTTTCCATTGTTATTCTCTGTTTGTGACTTGTAAATAATGGTGTAACCCGTGATGATACCATTCTGTTTATCAGCTGGAACTTCATCCCACATGACTAAGATGGTGGTTGGGCTGCTGTTCTCTCCTCTCACATTTTGTGGAGGATCGTCAGGTTCTGATATAAATGTTCAAAACAGACTTAGGTATCTTACTGAATTCTTCTTAACCGTTCTTTTATAACTGACGTTCCCAAAGGCCTCCCTAAAGTTAACTCAATACTTTTTTAATAAATTAAAACACCTTTACTTCAACATCAATTCCGAAAAACTGAAAAATTCGTGAATTTCATATCCTTATATTAATGATGTGTTAAAGTACACAGAAAAGCAACAGGAATAATGCAATGTATGTTCTCAGAACTGAAATAGTTTGTACGATTTTTTAAAGCTATTTATTACGATCGTGCTCCTAAAAGCATAAAAAAGTTATTAGACTTTAGAAACACTAAAAACGATCTGAGGTGAACCGACATTTTAAAACTGCCTAAGGTCAACACCACAACCTACGGACTGAAATCGTGGCGTTACCTAGCGCCAAAGCCGTGGAACCTGCTGTCACATTCACACAGAACCATTAGAAATTTCAAGGCCTTCAAAAACAGAATGAAAAAAAAAAAAAAAAAAAAAAAAAAAAAAAAAAAA